GTTGCTATGGCAACGTGTGTGTGTGTGTGTGTGTGTGTGTGTGTGTGTGTTAAGTGCCTTCAAAGTACTAAGAATGCTTAGTTCTGGGGGATGACATCATGTGTTCATAGCCTGTTACTGATTTGTGCTCTTCCTCTGGTAAACACACCCTTTTGCTTTTTTCACCTAGAGGCGCACCTGTGGACACAGCATTTTCTCTCTGGGGCCTGCTCTGGCTTCCTGAACGAACCCACAGGCTAGAGGAGAAGCTATTGGCTGGGTCTTCCTCCCCAAGGAGCCATGAGTCCCTCCCTCAGAGCTCCATTCCAGTGGCCAGTGGTCGCTGTGCCTCTCTGATTAGCCCTCATCAATCCTTGGTCCAAGGCCTGATGGGAAGCAGCGATTGCAAGTCCAGCTTCCAGCTTCTAAAGCTTCCCCGCCCAGCTCATTGCATGAATTCAAGTCAGCGTGTTGGCAAATTGTTCCCTGCCTCAGCCCTTAAGCTCCCGGCAGGACTGGCTGGTTTCTAGTCAAGCAGAAAGGCACTATATGCGCTTCCTTGATTTGGGCTTTCAGAGATGGGCCAGCAGTGCTGGGGGAGGCCACACTGATGTGGGGGGCTGTGTTACCAATGACCCAGCACACTGCTTCCCAGATCTGCTGCAGGGAGGCGTTCATCTCTGATGGGAGCTACACTCATGGACCCAGACCAGCGGTGCCCTGCTCAGAGTTAAACTGACCCACTGCAGGGGTGCCAAGACAGCCTCCCGAGTAGCAGGGTCTCTGTCCGTTATCTGATCTTGGGCAGTCGTTTAAATTAGTCACTTCTGTCAGTCAGATACATTTTGCTGAATTCTTAAACACCATGCCTGTCCTTTTAGCCTTATCTTTGCAAAATGCTCTTGGAGGAGATTTAAGTAAAGCCCTATAAGCCTTCTTTTCTGCTTCCTTGATGGCTTTCCCTTAAATGCCTTCAGTCTTCAGGGACAATTATTAGTATTACTGACACGTTATGACTTCAGCAGCTCAGGGAGCCAAAGCGCTGTCCAAGATGGACAGCGAGGACCCTTGCCTTTCCAGCTCATTTAACGAAGAGGAAAATGAGCCTGGATTCTGTTTTGTTTGATCAATGATAACAACACATTGTCCGTGGCTAGAGCAGCCGTGTGGAATTCAGAGGTCCCAAATGATTTCATTCCAATGCCCATGCTGCCTCATCAAACAGGAAGTTCCTTTTGTGTGTGTGTGTTGTATAACAAGCAGGTTGCTGTCGATTCTGACTCCTGGTGACCCCGTGTGTCTGAGCAGAGCTGGGATCCATAGGGTTTTCCATGGCTGGTTTCTGAGGATTGGATTGTTTGGACCTACCTGGACCCCTAATTAACTGTGTGACTTTGGGCAAATCCCATATGACTCTGGGTCACATGGGATTAGACCAAAGGCTCTTTCTTGTTCCAACCTCCTTTAGCGAGGATGGTGATGACAGACCACCTATCAATGCTGAGCTCCAGCTGCCCATGTTAAAGTGCCCTTAACTTTTGTCATGTTCAGGAAGCTTTGTGTTGCGTGTTGTTGTTAGGTGCCGCAGAGCAGCTCTGACCCACAGCAACCATATGCACAGCACAGTGAAAACCGTCTGGTCTTGCACGGCTACAACTGTTCCTATGCCCAGTAACTACCCGATTCCTCTAGAGCCATGGTTCTCAACCTTCCTCATACCGTGACCCTTTCATGCAGTTCCTCATGTGGTGGTGACCCCCCAACCATAACATTATTTTTGTTGCTACTTCATCACTGTCATTTTGCTACTGTTATGAATCAGGCGACCCCTG